ATATATTTTTTTTTCTCTTCTTTCTTTTTTTCCTTTCCCTCATCCCAGTTGTTCCTTCCTTTTTGAGCAATTTCTTTCCCTTTCACAATATCTGTTCGTACCTTCTGGGTTTTATTTACTCTTTCACGTTCTTACATGAGGGAGACAATGTGATGTTTACACATGTGGGTCCAATTTATCTCACTTATGAGTATCGTCTCTAGTTGCATCCACTTTGAGTTTATCTTTTTCATAGCTAAGTAACACTCCATTGTATAAAAATACCACATCTTTTTTACCCATTCCTCAGTTGACTTACCCAGGCTTTCTAAGGGATTTAAAGTAGAAAAATTCTTAAGTAAAGGATGTTATCAAGTGGATTGTATTTATGAAAATGTCTGCTATGAAAAATACCTATTTCAGGCAAAATGTTTCCCTGTTTCACAATGGGAAGGAGATGACCCCTCCCTGCAGAGGAGGGGAGGGGCGGAGGCAGGTGAGTGTGTCACACTCACTCCTGGCCTGAGTCTGTGTGACACATATCCTCTACTCTTTCTTTGGCCAAGATTACTGCAGTAATCTCCACAGGACCTCTAGTCTGTTCTCACCACAGAATGGCCCGCTGCAATGACCCCGCCAACGTTGCTGTGGCTTCCTTGTCTTCCTTAGGCTCAATTCAGAATTTCTGCTCGGCTGACAGTGTTCCATATGTGCTTCTCCCCTGACACCTCGCGGATCTCACCCACCTGGCCCACTCTGTCCCAGTGTCCTCGCTGCTGCTGCACGTCTTGGAGCCCGCCCGGGAAGATGTGACAAGCCACCTTCCTCAAACGTCCTTTGTTGAGCCTGTGCGCTAGCACTGTGCGCGCCATCCTTCACTGCCCCCTCCTCTGCCCACTGTGCTCACAGCATTTGCACTCTAGCATTTCATTTACGTCCATCTTCTTGCTGGGATATAAACGCCACATTCTCCCTCCAAATTCACTCATCCTTTCTCTGTACTAGCGTCTCCTTCGTTCCTGGAACCACAGCTGGCGTCATTACTCCATACGTGTGCTCATATTTAGGGGTGAAGACAAGGCAGAGAAAAGCACTTGGTTCCCAGATCCTATGAGGCATTTAAAAAGAATAAGGGAGTGGAAGAGTGAGTGAAGGAGATGCTCTCCTGACACATGGTGTGCAGCAAGCAGTTCACTAAAAGCATTTACAGATCTACAAGAACAGAGCTAAAGCCTGAGCCCCAGTGCATGAACTTTCTCCTGATGCCTGAAGCCGTCTAATCAGCCAAAGATACAGAAGGAAGTCAGCATACCTAAAAGATAAAACCACTTCTGGTGATTGTGAGAGTTTGCCAATTTTCCAAATAAGTAGGATTCTGGGAAGTGTCCTCCCTTAATAAACAGCAGGCAAAGAACATTCAGGACTTACAGTTATGCCATATTTTCCTTTTTCTTTTTAAGCATCTCTCTCTCACTGTGGTGATGATGTGTTCTTTGGGAAGAAACCCAGGCACATTTCAGTGTGTCTGTGATAAGTTCTGTGAAAAAGGCTGTCCTGTGCCTTATCTTCAACACCAAATATGCACAGAAGGAAGGGTGATGATTTGTCCTGGAGAAGTGCCTGCTCTGGGGACACAGTCCATAAATGCCGGCGCAATGAGAACAGCAGCATGGCAGGCAGCTTTACCCAGCCCATCCACACCTACTGGCCGATGCTGCTTAAAACTTCCTGAGAGTGATTCTTTTATTTCATGTTTTAAATGGGTGAAAGTGGAGATCACAGACGCCCACTCCCTGCACCTTCACTGTCTGCCTCCAGCGTCCGCTCCTCTTCTCTGTACTGCACACCGCTGCACCGGCCTCTGCAGCTCCTCCAGTACCCTGGGTGTTTTCTTCCCTTGGGGTCTTCACACAGGCATGTGCGTTCGCCTTTACAGCTCTCTCCCTACTCCCTTCCTCAAGCTCTTCTCTTTTCCTGCAAATGTAAATGTAAGCTAACAGGGACTCCTTGTGTGACCACCTCGTCTACATCTCTAAACCCTCCCAACACACACACACACACACACACACACACACACAACCCCTTGCCCTCCTCTGCTTTGGTCTTGTTTGTAGAATGTTTCATCAAGTGATACACTGCATATTTTTCTTTTACCTATTGTGCACTCCTCTCCTCCTGAGAGGATACTTCAGCAGAGAGGTTTTGGTGTGTTTTGATTGCATCACCAGAAGCATGTGTAACGGGTCCTCAATCCGTGTTTCCTGAATGCGTGAGTGCATTCCACTCACGCATTCCACAGGAGGGCAGGATACTGATAAACCTCTACATCATACCTGTCTTCTCATTGGGCAAGCGGACTTAAAACCTATAGAAGTGGCTGTTATCCTGGTCAGAACTGCCAGAGGAGCTCTACATAAACCCTGCTCCAGCCTCAGCCTTGGTAGCTGTAACTTCAGTGGTAACAACATTCATCAGGATTCCAGTGAAATGGGTGTCAAGGGTAGAGGTTTGCTTCCTAGAAAAATCTTGATCAAGTCAGGGTGTTTGGCTACAATTACTAGGAAGAGATTGGTTGGTGTTAGTGAAAAGAATCTGAATGACGGACACGGGAAGGAAAACCTAAGCAAGTCTGAGGATCTCACTAGAACAGACAGGGACGTGGGTGTCTGCAGTGCGACAGCAGCCAGAGCAGAATGAAAGGAGAGCCGCCCTTCCAGGGTGACCTCCATTTGGCCGTGTCCACCAGTTCGCTGGTCCTTGCCTGGCTTGCTTGGCTCTGAGTGGGCTGGATCGAGTTACAAGGCCTGCCCCAGAGCTGCCCGGGAAGAAGCCTTCCAGTGCTGAACAGAGGCACCCCGCCCTCACCGGCACGTCCACAGAGAACCAAAGAAT